CACCCCTCACCATGCCTCCCCTGCCCTCCACCCCCACCCCCACCCCACAGCCCAGGACAGGGGCAGGAAGGGGATGGATAGGCAGCCACGTGGGCCAGGGTTGTTTCCACGTTGGCTTGAAGCACCCCTGAGTAGACGCTGGGGAGGGGCTGGGACGAGAGAGCTGAGCGCTCCCTGTCAGGAGCTGACCCACAGCCGGTTCTGTTTTTCGAGTGAAAAAGGACAAATTGGACTTTTGTTTAAAAGTTACCAAAACGGATCCCGTTTCCACCTGGTTCCGTTGGACTTCGTCCTGTTTTGTTCTCTCCTGACTCCTCGTCCTCCATGGAATTCCACTCCACGCCCCTGCCATTCCCGGGGACACAGCCCCTCCGGGCCTCCTCGCCCACCAGCTGGCAGCCCCTCTCTCTGCCCAAGGGGCCCAGTACCCTCTCTTCATAGACCCGAGGGTCCCCGGCCTGCCTGCGCTGTCCCCGTGGGGCCTCCCTGGGGCATGGGCTTCTCTCCTGCCGGTGGGGATGGGTGGGCACAGCCTCTGGCTTGCACTTGACCTCTGCTCCCTGACTCAGCCCTCGCCTTCCCCTCGCCCCTGACACCCCCAGGGAGGATCAGAACGGAGCAGGGGTCAGAGGGGGCAGGCCTCCGTTCCCTGTTGCCCCAGGTGGGACCTGGCCAGCTGGGACGGTGACCGGCCAGTGGCGGCCCAGCCTCTGCTCCTCCCACAGGTCCTTCCCTGGGTCCCCTCTGCTCCCCGCATTACGTTTAGCCCCGGCCCCCCTGCTCACCTTTCCAGACTTCACTGAGACCCCCCAACGCCCCCCTCCCATCCCCCACACCCACTGCCCAGGCAGGACGTGAGGAGCAGCACATGCAGGGAGCTGACCAGGCCTGGGGCTCTGACCTTTGCTTTAATGCCTCCAACCACGCCCTTGGCCTGTTACCCCAAGGCCAGGACTGGCACTTCCCCTTCCATTCCCCCCAAAACATTGGGGGGTTCTGTTCCCCAGGATTGTCCCTGATACTCTTGGGGCCTCCCACTCAGCTCAGTGTCGAGGCCTGTGTGTGGAGAGACAGGACGGGGAAGGATCAGGAAGGAGGCGCGGGGGCTTCTGGGGACGGCTTACAGGAGCCCGCAGGGGAGTGGGGAGGCCTCGGGGAGGGTTCAGTGAGGAAGCTGTGAGTGGTACCCACAGGTCCGGGTTGGGCCCACGGGCACAGCAGGGGGCAGCCGCCCCCAGCCCCCTGCAGCTGCAGGCCTGGCTCTGAGGCTGGGGCGGATCCTGTTGGGACCCTGGACCCGGAAAGGAGTGTGAATAGGGGTGTCCCTCCCACCCCAGGAGCAGACCAGGGCTGGCCCCAGGATCGATGAGCAGGGAGAGGATGAGGGGGTGCTGGCCTGGGGAGGGGTGAGGAGGTGAGGCCAGGCAGGGAGACCAGGGCAGCAGGATCCCGGGGGGGGGGGTCGGAGAGGCCGTCCAGTGTCTGCCCTCTGACCGACACCCCGGCGGGGAGCCAATTAGGAAGCACGGTTCCTTCACCTACAGACGGGCCTGGGATGTTCCAGCAGCTGCTAATTAGAACCTTGGGTCTGCCGCCCCGCCTGCCCTGGGAGAAGAGCGGCCCCTCTGAGGCCAGCTCAGCGCTGGTGTTGCTGGTGCAGAACAAGGGTGCGCTGACCTGGGCAGCGGTCAGTGGGGTGCGAGGCTGGGGAAGCGGGCAGTGAGGCCGGGCGGGGTGTGCAGGTCCCACCCTGTGTCTCTGGGGCATGTTTGCCAGTGAGAGGGCCCGGCCGGGGGAGGGTTGGGGTGGGCACCTGGCAGGGCAGGAGGGCATTGGGGTGGGGAGGTCTCAGGGCCAAGCCCCTCGATGCTTCTCACATTCACCCGAGAGACCACAGGGCAGGGCAGGGCAGGGCGGCCGGTCTGTTTCTTCTACAGGGAAAGGTTCCGGGTTTGCTCTGGGACTTGGGACCGGGAGCCACAGCCTGGGCCTCAGTGTCCCCATCTGTCAAATGGAGGTGTGACCCAGGGCACCTGACATCCACTAGATGAGCCAGCCCGGCCCCACCCAGCCCCGTGCCATCTCCCCAGGCAGGTCCACAGTGACACTGTCCCGCAGCCCCTCTCCTGGCCACCTCAGTCCTCTGATGCCCTCTAGGGGATCCGGCTCACCTTGCAAAGGCCCACGAGAAAGCCGGTGGTTCACGGAAGACAGTTTTATTATTTCCAAGTGTCTCGGCCGGTCCTGGCAGCTTTGCAGGAAGCCCAGCCTTGGAGGTCTATCCTTGATGTAACGTTGCCGTGAGTGTGCGTGTGTGAGTGTGTGTGTGTGTGTCCCCGCCACAGAGTCTGCGCCCTGCGCCCTATGCAGGCAGAGCGCACCTGCTGGGGGCGCCGCTCTGTGGCCCGTGTCCTGGGAGCCAGCGGAGTCCGGGCAGGGAGAGTGCCGGGTGCACCTTGTTCCAAGCGTCGGTTGTGCGAGGACGCTGACCAGGCCCAACCAAGGGCTGGGCACCTCGGCTGGCGTGGGAAACACCCCCTGTGCTCCCAGCCGACATGGCGACATGGCGTGGAAGGGGCAGAAGAGCACCCTCCCCCCACCCGTGGGCCCAGGCTCCTCCTGACTCCTCCCACGCCCTGCCCCTCAGCCTCCCGCCTTCCTCTTTCCTCCGGCTTCGACTCCACCTTGTCCCTGTGCTCCCTGGGGGAGCCCCTGGGGTCCTCTCACCTCCTCATGTTTGCACAACCTCCTGTCATCTCACACAGCCACTCTGCAGAGGCACTCCCATGCACACACACACAAGCACATGCGCACACATACACAGGCACACACAGGCACACATACACATATGCACATACAGGCACATGCACACACAGGCACACATACACATGCACACACAGGCACAGTGGTGCATAACCGAAGGAGTCCTGCTCCCTCACATAGCCGTCCCCACCCCCAGTCCTTCCCGCCTTGGTGAGAGAGGGCCCAGCGTGGGGGTTGGGAGGGCACCGAGCAAGGGGCTTGGGTGTGCCCCTAGACTCCCAAGGCCCCATCCTGCTCTGGGTGCTGAGCCTGCAGATGTGGAGGAGACGGGCCTAGTCCCCAAGGAGCTTATGGTCCAGGAGGAAAAGGCGGGTGTGTGGCGGGGCCCAGCCTGAGGCGGCACGTGCAGGGGAGCCGTCCTCTGAGCAGGGTGGGAGGAGGGCCTCCTGGGGGAGGGAGCCGTCGTCAGTGTTCACTGGGCAAAGCCGGAATCCCAGGCAGAGGAGCGTTCTCCAAGCACAGAAGTGGGCACAGGCTGGGAAGTGGGGGGAGAGCAAGCCTGGGGCGCTGGGTGCACGGGGGCCCGGGGAGTCTCGTGTGGGCCTCAGCAGTCCTGCCCACATCCGTGCCCAGAACC